GTCTGCCTGCCTGCCTGTCTGTCTGTTCTGTCTGCCTGTCTGTCTGTGTGCCTGTCTGTCTGCCTGCCTGTCTGCCTGCCTGCCTGTCTTCTGCCTGCCTGCCTGTCTGTCTGTCTGCCTGTCTGTCTGTGTGCTTCTGTATCTGCTTGTCTGCCCGTGTGCTGCCTGCCGCATCTACCCTACTCTGCACGGGGCGTGCACGGGTTTCATGAGTTTCCCCAGGTGTGAAGCCCCTTGAATGGCAGCGCGGGGAGTGGGTTTCGATAACGGATTGCGCATCTCTCTGTCTGCCTGTCTGCCCATGTGCTGCCTGCCGCATCTGCCCTGTCCCTGCACAGGGCGTGCACGGGTTCCATGGCTTTCCTCAGGTGTGGAGCCCCTTCGACGAGAGCGTGGGGAGTGGATCGGAGAAGGTGCTGCGCATGCGTGTGAGCAGAACCGACTACACGACCTTCTACTATGGCTCGCTCTATGACGGCTTCGTGCGCACCAGGTGGGGCTGGCACGAGGTGGGGCTGGCACGAGGTGAGTCGTGGCACGAGGTGAGCCGTGTTGTGAGTCGACTCAAGACACGAAGGTGCTGTGATGCGCATGCCTGTGCGTGGAACCCACTACGACAACACCTTCTACTATGGCTCGCTCTATGATGGCTTCGTGCGCACCAAATGAGGCTGGCACCAGGTGAAGCTGGCACGAGGTGAGGCTGGCACGAGGTGAGGCTGGCACGAGGTGAGGCTGGCACGAGGTGAGGCTGGCACGAGGTGAGGCTGGCACGAGGTGAGGCTGGCACGAGGTGAGGCTGGCACGAGGTGAGCCGGACCACGCCTTCATGCGCACGAGGGGAGCCTGGGGCGCTACGTTCCACATGCAGGGGAAACGCCAAGCACCTTTGGATGAAGGGCTTGTGATTGGAATAGATGCCATTCCAAGAACCACGCTCTTCTCCTGCTGTCCCATTCCGGTCTTTTCTTTCACAGTCAATGAGTGAGCGCTGCACCTCCCGTTGCCCCTCCCAGGTTCAACATTACCAGGGACGGCCGGGCGTTTGAGTTCAATCTAACATACGTGGCACAGATGGGGGCGGTGCAGGAGGTGCTGCCAGCGTGGATGTTCAACACCAGCCTCCTGGGAGACGATGTGCTGAGCCGCCCGGACACTCCCTTCCGACTCGTTGCCTTTGGCGCCTCCCTGCACGATCTCACCACACTCAACTCCACACTGGACTACCGACGAACCGCAAGTGCGTGGTGGAAGAATGGTTTTCTTCCTTCCTTCTCTCTTTCTTTCTTTCTTTCTTTCTTTCTTTCTTTCTTTCTTTCTTTCTTTCTTTCTTTCTTTCTTTCTTTCTTTCTTCCTTTCTTTCTTTCTTCCTTTCTTTCTTCCTTCCTTTCTTTCTTTCTTTCTTCCTTCCTTTCTTGAATAATCTGCTGTGCCTGCACTCTACCAGCGCACATGCGTTCAGAGCATCTCCATTCCTCACCTGTTTCATGTTGTGGTGTTCTCATCCGTGTTCTAATCGTGCTACTGCACTCCCTCCTTGCTCCACAGCCGTACATCCGCTCCCAGCCTCGCACCTGCTGCTCTCTCGTGTGTGCGTGCGTGCTGCCCGACGCCTCTTCCTCTCCTTGCCCTCTCATGTGCTCTGTGCTGTGCGCCCCATGATCCTCTCCTTGCCCTCTCATGTGCTCTGTGCTGTGCGCCCCATGATCCTCTCCTTGCCCTCTCATGTGCTCTGTGCTGTGCGCCCCATGATCCTCTCCTTGCCCTCTCATGTGCTCTGTGCTGTGCGCCCCATGATCCTCTCCTTGCCCTCTCATGTGCTCTGTGCTGTGCGCCCCATGATCCTCTCCTTGCCCTCTCATGTGCTCTGTGCTGTGCGCCCCATGATCCTCTCCTTGCCCTCTCATGTGCTCTGTGCTGTGCGCCCCATGATCCTCTCCTTGCCCTCTCATGTGCTCTGTGCTGTGCGCCCCATGATCCTCTCCTTGCCCTCTCATGTGCTCTGTGCTGTGCGCCCCATGATCCTCTCCTTGCCCTCTCATGTGCTCTGTGCTGTGCGCCCCATGATCCTCTCCTTGCCCTCTCATGTGCTCTGTGCTGTGCGCCCCATGATCCTCTCCTTGCCCTCTCATGTGCTCTGTGCTGTGCGCCCCATGATCCTCTCCTTGCCCTCTCATGTGCTCTGTGCTGTGCGCCCCATGATCCTCTCCTTGCCCTCTCATGTGCTCTGTGCTGTGCGCCCCATGATCCTCTCCTTGCCCTCTCATGTGCTCTGTGCTGTGCGCCCCATGATCCTCTCCTTGCCCTCTCAGCCTCGCACCTGCTGCCCAGCCTGCGCCGTCGCTTGCAGGACGCGCGGCAGGTGACCTTCTTTGGTCCGTGGGCAGCCAGAGAGGACATCAAGCCGCGCTGGGTGATCAACAAAAGCAACAACGTGCGCGGCATAGCCTTCGAGGAGGAAGCTTCCAGGTCGGTGGCACTTCAGGGAAAGTTTTCGTAAGTTTTCAGGTGGGTGGGAGACTTTCAATTTGCAGTATTGGCTGAAGAACTGGGTGCCACTTCAGTTCAGAGAAATTCTCAGGTGGGTGTCGCTTCAGGAGGAAGCTTCCAGGTAGGTGGCGCATCAGAAAGAAGCTTTTTAAGTTGGTGGTGCTTTAGCGGCATTTCACTCACCTCATGTCAGACTCTCATCACTCCAAACTGAACCGCGTTGAACCACATTCAGGCATCTAAACCACACCATTGCAAACAATTCCAGCAGCAAGTGACTGAACATGATTTACGGGCAGAGTAAAGATTGACAAGGTGGTAATCATGCTGGATTCGTGCTTAAAAAAGAAAAGAAAATATAAATCAAACAAACAAACAAATCACTTCCAATCAATTACAACACATTGCTCTGTAACACAATGTAATATTTCATTCTGAATTCATTGATCATGTGAGGTGGTAAAATATTAGGTCTTTTCATTTGACAGAATTTTCAACCCAATTCCTTGCTTCCTGCTGTGTTTTTCCATGTCAGGCTACTGCCGCTCCAAGGATATGAGAGGTTTGTTCCAATGACCTCGGTAACGCTTTCTCGTCCTGACTTGTCGCCTGATAGCACGCATTACTCGTGGATAGTTACCCTCGCCATGCTGGATATCTGGTTCACCACCGCTTGCTTAGAAACATGATGATTTCCGTCAAAGCCCCCAAGTATACAGCCCCAGGGACACTGATACTAAACGCGCTGGGAATATCATATACACACAAATGTGCGTGTTTCATTATTGAACATATTAGGGAAGATTAACCACGGTATGCACAGCTCGCCTGCGACAGTGGCGACAGGTCTAGTTGGGGTGTTCGCCTGCGACTGTGGCGACGACACGAGGTGAGGGAAAGGTTGACATTGCCGCCATGCACGCTGGGCCAGCATCAGGCAAAAATACTAAGGGCGCGCTGCACTTCTATTTAATAATTCGAAAATTCTTTGGAGCGGGTTTTGGGCGAAGTTGCCCGCGTTTCAGTGTTTTCGAACTTGAACATGCAAAAACACAGAATATCGGCACCCTTTGTCAGGTGCACCAAGACTGGTTTTTTGGGGAACCCGAACTCCTACCAACCGTGCGACCAAAATGAGGTCGCACGTACACTGTAGACGTCGTCTAGCCAATCAAATAATTTCGTTTAGATATCGTATTTATTCTGTTACCGTCGCTAGGTTTTCGTTGATTTCGCAACTAGAGTTCACCTTTTGGGGTGGTGCAATTCTCTGTTAAGTTCGAGCATTTGACGGGGAATTCTGCAGTATCGTTTGCCCGCGTTTGGGGCGCTATGGGGTTCAAGTTCGCATGCAAAACACGAGCGTGGTGCACTTCTCGAACAGTATCACTGTTCAGTCAAGACAAAATTCAGTTGCGTAAACGCCAAACGCACAGTAACCCGAACTTCACCAAAAAATCGGATTTAGATCGATCTTCTTCAGCATTTTCGAATTAAAAAATAGAAGTGCAGCGCGCCCTAAAATCACATTCGCTCAAATATGACCCATTCGTGACATTGAGTTCGCCGCAGTACAGTATATCCGCATTCCGGCATGAGACAATCGTTACAGGCATCTGCGCGGGTGAGCTGCCTCCTCCCCTTCCCCTGCCAGCAGCAAGCGAGACAGAGCCACAAAGCGTGTGATGCGATGACGCCGTGCATGAGAGCCGCGGGGCGCGGTGACGCAAAGAGCTGCATGCGACTGCCTTGTTCGCCCTGCAGCCTGCTAGGTCCAAAACGGACGGAATCTTGCGGAACAAGGAACTACCCAATCAACTCTACACTTCCTTATGAGCTCGGCTTCAGTCTGCCTTTACTAAAAAGGTCTAAAGCTGACGTCGACCGTACTCGGGTACGACTTCTTAAGGTTATTCTCCTGACAACCGAAGTAGCCGCTTTATCTGTTTATTTCAAGGCTTCTGATACGTCCCCGACATATCTTATACTCCTGACCTCAACTTGCCTGTTTATTCCCTGACCAGTCTGTTGTTCACACCTCATATTCCCCTGCACCGCAACCTCACTCTCGTATTCAACAACGATGCTCGCTTCCGTGTTCGCTCGCCACTCTCTCGGCAACTCGTGCGCGTGGCGACGCCCCGTGGCGGGAGCTCTTCGCTTCCAACATTCCATGCTAGCTTCCAGTAGCGGGCCTGATGCGTTGCGACACGCGAACGAGAATACCAGGGTCGATGCGGCGCGCGGAACGAGCCCCCGTTTGTATCACAAGAACGTGGTGGATCATTACAATCACCCGCGCAACGTGGGCGCGTTCGACAAGCGCGATCCAGATGTCGGCACGGGATTGGTGGGCGCGCCGGCGTGTGGCGACGTGATGAAGCTGCAGATTAAGGTGGACGCGGAGGGGAAGATCGTCGACTCGTGCTTTAAGACCTTCGGATGCGGCTCCGCTATCGCGTCGTCCTCCCTAGGTATTTAAGCACGGCTTTTCTCTCCGATAACTGAGTAAAAAAAAAAAAAACACTGTGGCGAGGCGTTTCCACCGATGGTAGCCCTTTCAGCCAGCATCGTCCTGCTCTTTGGCATTTCCTTTCTCATCCTCCGTGTGGCTGTAATGAGGGCATGCGATGAGTAAGGTTTGTGGTGAGGGCTTGTGAAAAGGGCGTCTGATGAAGGCATAGGGAGGCGTCTAAGGTGCTAGTAGCTGCTGTTGTGCGCATGACAATTGCAGGCATAGCAAGGTTCTTCATGGTTTGTCTGCTTGCCCTTCACCCACTCCGTGAGCTCATTGTTTGATTCTTTCCGCCTCCTTACCTGGCAGCCACGGAGTGGGTGAAGGGCAAGCATGTCGACTCGGTGCTCGAGATCACCAACAGGTATATCTGTCCTCTCTCTCCGCTCCCTGCCTTGTTCTCCGGGCACGTTGGCTCTTTGGGGAGTGCCAGAGGGCGGACTATGGTTTGCACCTACTGTCTCGGTTGAGTGGATAGCTTCATGTGTTGACCGCATTTGCTGGGATGCTAACAGAGAGACAGTGTTGTCCGTTTTGGCACCCCTCCACTCTCTAACCATTCAGCCGTCTCACAAGCCATGCGTTTTCTTGTTCCCCTGCAGGGACATTGCGAGGCATCTGTCGCTGCCTCCTGTGAAGCTGCACTGCAGCATGCTGGCTGAAGATGCCATCAAGGCAGCCGTGCATGATATTAAAGTGAAGCGACAGCAGCAGTAGAGGCAGTGTGAACAGGAGGAGTAAGGGGCATTTGAAGTTTGTGGCACCTGCTGCTGCCTCCTGCCGCCTGTGAAGCTGCACTGGAGCATGCTGGCTGAAGATGCCATCGTGACAGCTGCGAACGATATCAAGGTGAAGAGACAGCAGGAGCAGAAGCAGTGAGGAAGCATTACAACTCATGAAGCAGCAGTGAAGGCGGTTGAGGCAGTGACGGATGGAACCAACTAGGCAGTAATGCTGTGGACGTGCTAGCAGTCGCGAGCTGCATTCTGCTCATTGTAGGTTTCAATAATATATAGCAAAGCTCAGTTGGTTTCTAACAATACTGCTGTACAGGGTGTATATTTTGTACATAGTGAGTGGAAGCTTCGAAGAAACAACGCCCTGCTGCAAGTAAGCCTTGCAAAACAGATGGTTTGTGCAACGAAGTACCGGTACTGTAGCTGTAATGAACATGGTGGATCTCGCCCAGGAAACGGATGCTGTGGAAAGGGTTGCAGAGCAGGCCCTCAGAAGTCAGCGAAAAAAGGCTGATTAGGGGTAAAAAGCCTGTGATTTCAGCCGGTCGGGGAGACGTTGGGCTGCTGTGGCAGCTTTTTTTTTGGTGTGTATGCTGTAATTTCAGTTTTTTTTAACCAGTCTGTGCTGAAATATCAGCTTTTTTGGAGGCGTGTGCGCTGTCTCATCAGACTTGTATCGAATAGCTGGGCTGAAATCCTTGTAATGGAGATTCGGATATAGGCCCCGAATACCGGATGTCTAGATACAGCTGTTCGAACGTTCCTCCGTAAATCACGCCGCGTTGGCAAGATTCCTTCGGGAATGACATCATTCATTCCCGCACTTTCACACTACTGCTGTCAAGTCGCGGAGATAACTTCGCACGTGATTGGATGTTAGTGCAACCACATCAATTAGTGGCGAATGAACACAAAGCAGTGCAGCACCACGCACGCACGTTACAGCAGTACAGCACCACAAAATGGTTGCCGCGCGTCTAGGAAACCCCCCCACCTCACCAACCCCGGGGCTGCAGCCAGGTACGTGCATGATTCCATGGGTCGAGCCGCCTTGCAGGTAGGATTGCCAACCAATCCCGTTTCACCATCTCTAGCTCAATCTTGCATACCCCCAGGTAGCTCCTGGAGACCCCTGTCCCTCACCCATTCACGCTAGGGTTTCAGGTCTTTCGCCTCTAGCACCAGATTGTTCTCGCCCAGCGCTCTCAGTGCTCGGCACGCTCTCTCCGTGCTCAGCTCGCTCTCGTGTCTGTTCCGCCATGGCTGGCCATGGCGCCGCCCTTTCAGACGACGAGGGTGACGCCGACTTAGACGACGCCGACAGCGTCGCCATCGAAGAAGCCCGTACTGGCCTAGATCTACTGCTACGATCTTTAGGCCGCCAACTACCACCTCCAGCGCCAACTGCACACGGTCCGGTTCCTATAGTGGCGGACAACCCGAACGTGCCGTGCAGCCCGGATTCTATCCGGTCCGTCCCTCCCGAGCCTCCTGGTGTTTCTGGTGCCGTTGACATCGGCACGTCGGCGTCGAAATCGTCAGCACCGCGCACAATCAAGCTCAAGCAACAGAAGCTGAATTTCTGGAAGCCATCGTCGAGCGTCCCAGTCTCGGAAGCTGTTGTGAACGAAACCACCGTGCGCCCGTCTCTGGAAATCAACGTTCAGGATGTTATTGATGCGATTTACGCCGAGGCCCTGGATAAGTACAAAACTAAGTGGCATGAGCGTTTCCCTTGGCTTGTACTTACAAAAACTG